TGTGTGAAGTTCATTTTCCTGGGGAGGTAGAAATGGATCTGGCAGCTTAACTTTGATATATTTTAGCAGAACGTTTTCATTTATCAGTCAGGTGTCTGCTATCCTGGTAGTTCAGCCTCGGGCAGATGTCTTTCTTCCCTGTTTCCTTGGGAAAATAGATTCTTCTGCTGTTTCTTCTCTAGTAAACAGAAAGTTGCTATTTACTCGCCGAAGGCCTGTGCTTGTACTCCAGAGCATTGCCATGGAGGTAGCTGAGATACAGTCATCTCTGTCTGCTTTGAAGCTTGGTGGATTTGAGGGGGTTTTGGTGGTTGGTTGATTATTTTTTGAATTATTATTTAATGGCTGGGGTGAGGTTTATCTTGGTTTAGGAGCTGTTTCGGGGAGTTCTGTGTCTTTTTTTTTTTTTTTGTGGGGTTCTGTGTCTTTTTTTGTGGTATGGGATTTGTTTTGTTTTTCCTTTGCTTGTCTGTTTTTTCTATTCAAAATTGGCTTAAAATTTGGAAAAGTCAATTAATATGCCCAGGTCAGAAGTTCCTGTAGTATTTATGTTATTCTCATTAGATGTTCTGTTCCTTACATTCTCCAGTAATTTTTCAGAAATCACGGACAAATACGTGTAGAGCTGGGCAGTGTGTCAGCGCTGTGCCTGGGCAGCAGCAGCGTGTCAGAAAGCCACGAGCTCTTCAGGCAGGAGGGTTTCTGAGCTCTCCCTGCTGCTGTACAGAGAACATCTAAAAGTACCTAGTCCTGTCCCAGGCCATGTGAGTCCCATCTTAGAAACTGTAGTCCAGTCAATTTCTGCATTTTGTTCAGGGTACATAAATGCCTTTGTGTCTTTTTTGCCTTGGTGTAACGGCAATGGAATTGTGGTTGGCTCATGTGTGTGATTTCGGAGGTGGATGGGGTCAGCTCTTTGTTTAGGCCAGGGCCTGCTTCAGGTCAGCTTCTAACGAGTGGGGTGCAGCACTCAGCGGAGGGGTATTGGGTCGTAAAAGAAATCCTGGTGTTTTGAGTGCAGAGTGAACATGTCCCAACCTAATTCTGTTTCTGTACTAATGTACAGTAAAATGAAGCATTATATCTGATACCTTTAGGTATTTTCTAGTTACTTAAGGGTGAAGACACCTTAAAATTGAAAAATAAGACAGATCTTCCAGATGCGTTGCATCTCTCTTCTGTCTTTCTTTAATACTGGTTCAGGGCTGTGAATTCAAAGGAGAGTTTGACTTTTTTCTAAGGAACACAGTGTTTTCACTTGCAGAGTGCCTGAATTCCCCTGACATGTCATGGATCTGTTGGCCTCTTTTCTGCTTCATTTGGTGAGTCCCAAGAAGTGAAAGAGAAGGAAAGATTTGCTTTGTTCTCAGCGTTGCCCAAGAGCATTTAATCTGCTGCTTGAGAGATGTGCTCTCTACTGCTTAACCCCGATAGGGAATTTTCTTATGCCAGTAGTGTTGACGATGTCAGTAATTCAAGCTTCAACTTGTCCCTAAGGATGTGGGGTTTGTGGAAATGTGCTTCTCGGTTCTGAGTGGTGAAAAAAGGAGCTGTTTTTCTGTGGGGCAGTGTCTCCTCTGAAGAAAGATTTGAGCTATGTATCTCAGTACATTTATCTTTTGGTCAAGATTCCTTGAGCAGAAACTGAGGTGGCTCCTGAATTGTCATCTGTTGGTCCACAGTATCCCAACAGCAGCATCGTAGCTTTACCTCCACCTTCTTGGTAGAATACCAAATCAGTCCTTCACAAGCAATATTCATTGTTTTCTATTTAATCTCTTGACTCATTCATCTTGGAGCTTCTACATGGGGATTCCCTTTTTTTCCCCCATGTCGTGGTTACAGCACTATCTGCCTTTCTTCAGCTTGCTGTTTCTCACAGGAGGTTCTCTGTCTTTGTTCCTGCTCAGAGACGCAGCCGGATTTAGTAGGGTGAGTGTTTCCTCACCACGCTTTCGTGCATATTTCACACCAATAAAATTGGCAAATGTCTGGAACCCTCTAGAGGGTGAGTTCTTTTTAACCAAGATGTGACTGATGCTTGGAATTCAGTTTTTGCTGGTTTGAGTGTCCCAGATAGCTGATGCTCAAGTCTCTGGCCCTGTGGGCAAGATCCTGTATGTTCATAAGGACTGCAGAGGAACAGGCTAAGCTCAGCAATGCTGAAATAAATGTTGGTGTGGGCTTGGCAGCCCTCCTGTGCAGGTATATGTGTGGCTGTGATGGCTTTTGTGTTCAGTCAGTGGATCACAGCCCGGCAGTTACTTGTTTCGCACTTGTAGTGGTTGCACACTTCTCTCCGCACTGTCAGCGATTGGGGTTCAGAGATGGCTCATTTGAACTGGTAGTGGATGGGCACAGAGAGGGGGAAGGGCGAAGCCTCTACTATGGCTCAGGCACGCGCTTGTGCAATTGGGGTCCTTCCCCTCGGCAGGGTCTCCTTTTGTTCCCTTGTCCTTTGGTGTGGAAACTTGTGTGCAGTGCTTGTGTTTCCTGACCTGATTTCAACCTGGAGACGTCTTGGTAGGATGGGCAGAAGAGTCCAAGATAGGCAGATGGACAAAAGCTGGTTCCGTATTCTGCTTCTTCTCTCCTGTCGGTTCTCCCTTTCCTGATACTCATGGGAAAGGCTCCTCTTCCTGTCTGTGCAGACATTCAGACAACATGGAAATCACATTTAAAGTGATAGATCTTTTCTTTATGTGCGGGTTAGGACATACTGATAGACTGCATTGAAAAAATGAGATTATGACAGGAAAGCTGATGTAAAATGTGCATGATCTTCTCCTCCCCCACTCCCAAGTGCTTTCAGACTCTGCCTTTTAGTTTTACTTAACTTTTACTTTACTTCTTACTTAGATCAGAAAAACAAAGAGACCAAGGTTAATGAGATTGTTTCAGGGTTTACTCACTGTTGAAGTTGGACTACATCTAGCTGATTAAAATATAAGTAGAGAGATGCTTAAACTCTGGTTATGGTCTGCTTGAAGTACCGTGACCTATTTCTGCCGAGGTGTGGTGATGTTTGTGTGGGAAATGTTTTAAAATATTCGGAGGAAGTTCTTTACTGAACGAGTGGTGAGGCACTGGAACAGGCTGCCCAGGGAGGTGGTGGAGTCACCAACCCTGGAGATGTTTAAAAAAAAAGTAGATCTAGCACTTGAGGCTATGGTGTAGTGGTTAGGTATGCTGGGATGAAGGTTGGACTAGATGATCTTCAGAGGTCGCTTCCAACCCCTAACATTCTGTGATTCTGTGAAAAGGATTTCACCTGCAGGTTGTTTTTGAATCGTGACTCTGAAAAGTGAAGGTACTGAGCACACTTCTCTGCACACGAGAGGTGCACTGTTCAAACATCAAAAGAAATTTCAATTATTTTTTTCTTTAGTCAATCCAGGTTTCTTGTCTAAGTAAGAAGCCAGACAAACTTGGTTTGAGTAAGGTGACAACAAAGGCTCAAAGCTCAAATGGGAGCCGGGCCATTCCTCTTGTATTGCTCATTTATTTCACACTTGTTTCTGCTGGTCTCATGGCTGAGGAGTTCTGTGGTTTGTTGTTTGTTTTTTTTTTGTTTAGGTTGTTTTGTTTTGTCTTTTTTTTTTAACCTTCTGGAGTCTTGTGCCTGACATTTTTTCCTATAAACAGCACTGCCAGCAAGGGTGTCCTGCCCCTTGTCTAC